TAAGTCAGAGTCCCTGCAAATGTTTGGCTTCCATGCCTGATGTTCAAACATACTGGAAACCAACCAATGAATTTGAACAATTGAGTTTGGTAATCATTCCGGGAAATGGAATTCATATTTCTTTCTTAAATTGCAACCCATAACCCTGTATGTAAAAAAACTTTACCACAACTTTGGGTCATGGATGCAGTTCTGTGTTTCCAGTCATCAGAGATCTTTTCAGAAAAACAAGTTCTTTAGTCCAATCCTTTAAAATTCAAACATTTAAAAATCACTTAAATATTACCATTGAATATTGAATAAGACATGCATGTGTGCAGCATATTCATGAGCAAAGGTTATTGATTTTATTAAAAATTATTTTTATTTGAGATAATATCTTGTTTAAGTAAAAAAATACACATTATCTTTTAAAAAGACTGAACCAAATTGTTAACTATGATTATATTTGAATGATGGGGCTGTGGATAATTAATTTTTTTGCTATTCTTTTGAAGTTTCTTTAGTGTATATTGTTTTAAAATGGAAAAAAATTAAACTATCCCCTTAAAATTTCTCTGTTTAGCACTTGCCTTACAAAAATCAAAGCCAAATATTTGAAGTAAAGAGTGGCAAACTATGGTCCAAGTCAAGCACTTATTTTTGTAAACAAAGTTTTATTGGAACACAGTCCCACTTATTCGTTTATATGTTTTCTAGGTTGCTTCCAGGCTCTTAGCAGAATTGAGTAGTTGCACAAGATTGTATGGCCCTTAAGACTTAACATTTATTATCTGGTCCTTTAAGAAAAAGTTTGCTGACCCTCTGATCTAGAGTGTTGAATTTATGAAGCAGTTGGCAAGAATATTTTTAAAATTAGCAAAAGTTTTAAAACTTCGCTAATAACACCATGTTTTTCTTCCTTTGCAGCCTAAATTAACAATGGCAAAATGCAGGCGAAATGTGGAGAATTTCCTAGAAGCTTGCAGAAAAATTGGTGTACCTCAGGTAATAAATTTATGATTTTTTTTTTGTTGTCTAAATAAACTTGGGTATTACTTTCCTAAAATCTTTCAGAAATGCAAGTTTCCAAAATCTTATATAGGACCAGCTCTGAACTAAGTTAGTAATTACTAACATAATTGTATATTACTAGAGTCAATCGGTATTCTTTTGAGCAGTTTTCCTTAGTTATTTCCAAGGACCAAGCAAAGAAATCATACATATTTAAATATACTGTAAAAGTGAATGCTAAGTAATCAAAAATAGTTGTGATATTTTCCTAAACATTCCCACTTGGCTGTTTGACTTGTATCCATCCTCATATGCAAGAGTCAATGCTTCAAAATAAGTGCATCCCAGACTGAGAATGCTTCAGTTGGCTTCAGTTTTTCTAATACTTGCTTTAATACTTTCTAAAACTGTTTATTTTGAAATAATTTTAGACTTAGAGAAATGTTGCAAAAATAGCATAGAGTGTTATTATGTACACTTGACCCAAGTTCCTGTATGGTTAACATCTATATAAACATAGTAGGTCATCCAAACTAACAAACACAGGGACAATGCTGTTAACTAAATTACAGACTTTGTTCAGATTTCCCCAGTTTTTCCACTAAGCTCTAATACTTTGGAATTTAGCACACAAGAAGCCATTTCTATGAACTTATCCTGCTATTGCAGTTTATTGCCTCCAGCTTCCTCAGTTATAGCTTTATTGCCCTTTAATCGTACAAAAAGTTGAAGTATAGGTGTGAATAAAGGACATGAACTTGATACATTTTTTATTCATTACCCTTTTAAAAAGTAATTATGTTAAACCAACTTAAACATTATATTTAATGAAATCCAACTTAAGAAATATTATATTTAATGAAATGTATACAAATTTAAAGAAACAAACAACTTGGTACCATTTTTTACTTTTTTTCATTAACCACAACCATTACAGTGTCTGTCATCATATTTTGTCCAGCCTTCAAGAATAAAAATATGATTCTTCTATGTCCTTCTTAATTAGCTGTCAGAAACCCAGGATTGGCCCCTGGACTCAATGATTCCACTATTTCTCTTAAAGTTAAGCCCTTTCACGACAGCTGCTCTCTTTATCCAGTTTGCCATTCCTGTCTCTTAACTAACCATGAGTTGAGAAGGTCACAGCATCCATCACTTGTCCAATAAGCAACCTTCTCTTTCAGCTCTTTCACATGTTGCAAAATGGAAGAGAAAGAATCCAGCTCATAGAGTATCTGCATCAGCTAGCGTAAATTCCCATTGTTGTTTTTTCTTTTATTAAGTAGATTGTGATTCTAATATTTATTTATTTTTATTGGGGAACAGTGTTTCTCCAGGACTCATCAGCTTCAAGTCAAGTAGTTGTTTCAGTCTAGTTACGGAGGGTGCAGCTCAGTGGCCCATGTGGGAATCGAACCAGCAACCTTGATGTTATGAACACTGTGCTCTAACCAACTGAGCTAACTAGCCACCCCTCTACTATTTATTTTTANCTCCCTGCCCTGAGCTGGGAGTGTGGTATGATTCATAGTCCAGTGCTCCCTGTGGGATCAGGCGGAAACTAAGAAGGGGACAGCTGTGAGCCCTTAGCAGCCAGCAGGGAGTGGGGGTAAAAGGTGGGGATAGGTGCACAGACTAGGTAAAGGGACGCTAGGTGAGGCACCAACAGCATCTACAAGTTATATTCAAATTTCCCAGGTGTTCCAAGAATATCTTTCCCTCCTCTCTCCTCCTCAGTATACACTCACATAACCAGGATATGATCAAGGTCCCCACATTGTATTTGATTGTTGTGACACCCTCTTCTGATGACTCTGAATGGAAACTATTTGTAATATGTGTCTAACCTTTTCAAAAGATTTGACGTCATCTCATTTTCTGGTCATTTGTTGTTTTTTAGCAGGCATTTCCTGATACAAATTCGTTACTCAAATCGCAGTTATATCTAGGCCTATAGATTGCCGCTTCTGGATTTTCACCTTGCTACCTCTCCAGATGCGAATCGTTTATCCCTCCCAAGGACCTTTATTCTCCTAAGTGTAAAAGCTGCTTTGTTACCAATGTCACAAGAGGCTGGTACGGCTCTTGCCCCTCTAGCACATCCAAAAATAGAGTCAAACATTTGCTCCCAAGCAAAGTAGGTAGCCAATTTTTATTTAGTGACCCGAGGAAACAAGCATTCAGTTTTACGTAGGAGAGGCAGAGAGGAGCAGTAGCACTACCAAGTCAACTGCTCCCAAAGACTTGAAAGACTTGGGCCTGGTCCTAAAGGTGGTGATTAAGAGAATAGGAATTGACTTGTTATTTGGCAATGCCAGTAAGGGAAAGGTTATTCATACTTTGCATTCTGCCAGGCTTCTGTCAACTGAGTTAAGGAAAAACAAATTTAATAATTTTAAAAGGACAAATCTGTCATTCTTCATTTCCAGGGGAAATACTTAGGAAGTAGCATAGAGCTAATGTAGAAAGTGGAATTAGAGAGTAAGAGTGACTGAGGTGCTTTACCTTATCACCAGAACACACACAGTGCCTTACATTATAGATTGTAAAATACATATGGGAAAAATGAAGCTATTTTATAAGTATTTAACCACTTAGAAATAAAACACATTGAACTCCGTAAAGTTGTAATTGTGTTCATGTATATTCTTCTCAAGAGTAGATTCACAACTTTTCATCAGACTATAAGAAACAGTTCTGTCCCAATTATGAAACACTGACCCTACATCCCTGGAATTTAGATGAATGCTAAGGGAAGGAATGAGTGGGGAAGGAAATGATGGTTCCCCCAACTCCTCTTCCTC